TTTTAGATTATTCATTGTTTACTTGATTAATCTGAACACATCCATCATTCACTGCTCATCCACCAGTATTAATCAGAAGACAGGACTGAATTCAGCCATTTGTTGAAATGTAGCCATTTCCATTGAAATCGCAGATGTTCAGTATATCCATATTTTTTCCGTATTTTTATCCGAGTTTTTACCAAAAAGTTCTATTTTGGTTTCTTCTGACCACATGATATTCTCCCAATCCTCTTCTGGATTGCATCCTCTTCTTCCATTTTCTTACAATTGCTCCCACAGTTGATTTTGTTTTTACACCAAGCTGCTTGCCTATTGTACATTCACTCGTCCCAGCCTTGTGCAGGTCTACAATTTTCTTCCTTGTGTCCTTTGGTCTTGGGCATGGTTGAGTTTGGAGTGTGACTGTTTGAGGCTGTGGACAGGTGTCTTTTATACAGCTAACGGGTTCAAACAGGTGCCAATAATACAGGTAACGAGTGGAGGTCAGAAGAGCTTCTTAAAGAAGTTGTTACAGGTCTTTGAGAGCCAGAATTTTTCTGGTTTGTGGGTGACCAAATACTTATTTTCCACCATAATTTACAAACAAATTCTTAAAAAATCCTACAATGTGATTTCCTGGGTTTTGTTTCCCTCATTTTGTTTCTCACAGTTGAAGTGTACCTCTCTCATTATTCTAAGTAGGAGAACTTGCACAATCAGTGGCTGACTAAATACTTGTTGGCCCCACTGTATTTTTGTGACTTTATTGACTACACTATACAGCGCAGGGTGGAAAAGGTATTTAAACCATTGGATTTAATAACATGTTGCAATTGCTTTTTATTTATCTGTTTCAGTTCAGCTTTATTCTTTTAATGTCTTAAACACTCTCTTGTATAAACACTCTCTTGAAGGACACATTCAAGCAGCTTGAGGTCAATAATCTTCCGTTGGAGACTTTCCGTTTTACTCCTGTGCTTTTGGCTTCAGTTGGTGGTCAGATGACCTTACATTCTCTTACAATATGTCCTGATAAACTTGAGAATTAATTTGCCCATTGATCATAGCAAGCTCTTCAGACCCTAATGCATAAAAGCAGCATAAATCCATCTTGGCCCCTCCACTGCTGTGCTGTGCCTTTTTTTCTCCCCACAGTGTTGTTGTTTTTTTCCAACCAACTCAACTTGAGTTTAATCTGTCCACAGAATATTTTCACAGTCAGTGATGGAACATCCAGGTGCTGTTTTGCAAATTTGTGGGTGTTATTTTCAAAAGACAATTTGTCTTACCCAAGTCCAGTCAACAACAATGCTTTTAGAGACCCCTTTTAGCATTATTTAGATCAACAGTTCTCAATCTTGATGTTCGCAGCTCTCTTTTGCCTGTGGTATGGTTCACATAAGGCAGTGCTTTTAGTTTTTAGAAAACCCAGAAATCCCTTTTAAGGACAGGATGACTGACCTCTGAAATTGACTTATTTATTGAACTCAAGGACTCATGTGAAGTCATTAGCCTACTGTAGGTGTTCACATACCTTTTTCCTCCCTGCATGTGAACTGTTCACAAAAAATGTTCATTTGCTTGTTTATGTGTTATTTGTTTAAAGGGTTAGTTCACCTAAAAATGAAAATTCTGTCAGTATTTACTCACCCTCATGTTGTTCCAACCCCGTAAGACCTTCGTTCATCTTCGGAACACAAATTAAGATATTTAAGATATTAAGACCGCCTATGACATCCTAGGCCATCAAGTGTCATTCCCTCAAGAAGCCTATGGACTAGTATGCAGGAGTGATCTTAATATCTTAAAAATCTTAATTTGTGTTCCGAAGATGAACGAAGGTCTTACGGGGTTGGAACAACATGAGGGTGAGTAAATACTGACAGAATTTTCATTTTTGGGTGAACTAACCCTTTAAGCAGACTGTGTTTGCATATTATCATAACTTAAAAAATCCAGTTAAATCCAAAGGGTTTACATGCTTTTCCATGCATCTCTATTATTAAAAACAGGATATGCTGCATCAAAATTCAATGCTGCATTGAATCGAAAATTGGGACCAGCTTGCATTGTTTGCACGGACTAAGGGAATTTACACTGAACTGGCCTCAGTCATATATATATATATATATATAATCTCTCAATTGCCATCCAACATGATCCATTAGCTTTACCGCTTCCTTTCAATTGCTTACTACTTCTCCCCTTCCAACTCTCATAAATCCACAAATCATCAAATCATTCTCCCGGCAGCATTTACTTAGCTTAGCATTTTCACTGTCCAGTGGATGTCAAGCAATTTGTCAGGTACTCGACCATGCGCACAATGACTTTCAGAATCTTAAAAATCCCTTCATCGTTAACTGACCTCAATCAGAGATCCCGTGAGAGTAAAGTGTCCTAATGCTCCAAACAAATGTTGAGATTAAAGCTTTACCATGGTCCCTAAGACCATTACAACAATCCTTTCAGTGGACTCGCAGGTTATAATCAATGTTAAAAATGCTTCAAATACCTACTAACATGGTTTAGAGCTCATGCATATCAAAATGTTGAATTTGTGTTTTAGAGGAAAAACGTTTTCCTTGTCGGCAAAGAAAATTATGTTGACCATTCTTTCGTAATCACGAAGATAATAGCTTTTTAGACTCCCATTAGATGTGACTCATTGTGTGCAGAGATAAATCGTAAATAAACTCTACTCCTCTTTCCCTGAAGTGTCTTTGGAGCAATTGTCCTAAACTCCAAACTCACCAGCTGCTTCTTAGAAAATTAGAAAAACAATGGCCTTTTGTTTAGAGAAGCTAAAGAGAATCATAAATAATGGTTTGTTCCAGGAAGCTCAAGCTAATTAGCGTAGCACTGAGTGTCAGCTCGATGTCTTTGCAAGAGTCGCTGTGCCTCTGTATGCGAGGCGTCCTGGGAGAGCGAAGTAAACTTTGCCGAAGATCAAAGAGACTCATTCTAGGTGTCATTATTTAAATGAAAAAGGGTGTCTGAACTTTTGCTGGCTATAGGAGAGAAGGAGAGAGCGGTTGACTATCCTGAGTGCTGTGCCACTGCTCATGCATTTAAATGGCTCTCATAACACACGCCAAATCTGCCTTGTGCGGGTAGTCTTTAAATCTGTATGATTGAAGTGATTATGTCAAAAGTTGAGGAAGATGGATCTACTGACTCTCCTCTGATGATGCTCACCTGCCTTTTGTGACCTGGAGTGTATGCTTACTGTGGAAAATATATACAAGATAATGGCTGCTGGCTGTGATTGCACACTACCACCAGAAGCACTTCCTCCATGACTTTTCTCCCAGCTGTCAGTCCAAACACTTGGTTTAAAAAGTGCTACTGTGGCCAAAACGGTTTCTAGCAGTGTCTCTAAAGAATGTGAACTAAATGGCAGCAATTTACGGCAGCAATTTACGTTTGTTTTTCTCTGCAAGTATGAGGAACAGGTGGATTAAATGCTGCGCACTTCTCGCTGCAGATGGAGCAGATGATTTTAGCTCCGGGTTTTAATGACTGTATATTTGCTCTTCTTTTTTTTCTAAGTACCACCTCATTCCATTTACTTGGAATGAGGTGGTATCTAGAATTGGACAGTCTATACTCTATGTATGAGTTTGTGATTTTCCACCGTGTTTTTGTGTGAAGCACCTAAATAAAAACGTTTAAGAAAGAAATGAAAGGGATAGGCCTTGCTGTTTGTCTTGCCACTCGATCTTTCTTGCTCTCTCACTTTCACTTGGACTTCTTAATTGAGTTCCCAATAGTGGAACAGCAGCTTTTTTTCATACTGTAGGGATTTAGATGAGCAGTTTCTCCTTATTAACATGTGCAATGACTAAGCTCTCTAACTTTGCTGACTTGGCATTCCTCAGCTCCTCTCCCTGAGTGTGTATTAGTAGTACTTAAGGAAGGCATCACTATCGCTCATACCTTGAGCTATGGGTTTCAACAAACCCCTTATATGCGAGTTATAATTAACTATAATAAAGGTATAACTTGATCAAGTGACAATGTTTATGTGTACCACGCTGTCCTTTGGGCATTATCTATCCAAATGTTAACCTTTCAAATCAAACCCAAACCTGCGTCCCATCATGTAACTCCAACTAGAGAGTTATCAAATTGAATATACTTTGTAATCTCCCATCTACACCACCTACTTCAGCACCCTTTTGCCCTGAGCAGTGCTATCTTTTACATAAGAGACCTTCCATTCGAGATAGAGAGAGAGAAGAACACTATTTCCAGATTAATTGGGGCACATTTAAAAATACTTTAGGGTGATATTGCGTCCTGGTTCAGTGATCTAGAGCTGTTTTTTATGACCTGTAGGCCTTTCAATTTTAGACCTGATTTGACTGAGCACAGCACATGCTGCCGTCTCTCGTCTTTTTTTTTTTTTTTTTCAGTTTTTAATTCCTTGCGTGTGATGAACCGAGACCCGCAGATGTGGTTCTGACGGCTTGAGCTTCAACGTTGATTCATTGAAATTCCATTTCTGATGTGAATCCAACAGCAGAAGTGATCACTTTTAACCAGATAGACACATATTGAAGTGATTACGATTTAAGAGAATGGCCAATTATGTTCCTTTCGGGCCCTCATTATACTGCGAAACACCCAGTATTTTTAATTAGTTCTATTTCTGGGGTGGAAGTAGTGAAGAGGATCTATTAGACTTAGGCACTGCTCTGGGGAGCCGTCCACATGCAAACTAACGTTTCTTCATTTCACATGGAGACAAACACTGATGGCGAAAACCTTTCTAAATTGGATATGGTCCCCGAGACCACTCAAACCCAGTTGTGGATCTATTGATTGGGGCAGATGCACAAATTTAGAAAGCCAGTGGGACCACCTTTCATCTCATATGTGCCATATTTCTGTCTATAGAAAGCAGCCTGATTGGTTTTTGCTCATTAAAATGTCCATTTTCTTTCATGTGCCTGTTCCGGCTGTGCTTCACGTCTCGTTTGTCTAATCCCTCTTCCTTTGTTGTGTCTCTACAGCCATTGGTGTCGAACCTTCCCATGAGCGGTATCCCTCAACATGCTTCTCGTATACCAGGCTTTGACTATCAGCCCCTGGAAAACGCACTATCGAGGAGCGCTAACACCCCTGCTTCACATGTGACCACCTCTTCTGCCTCATCTTCCTCTCGTGGGCCCGAAAGGGACCGGGATAGGGACAGGGATAGGGATCGGGATCGAGAACGGGACAAGAGGAAGAAGAAACATAAGAGAAGGTCTCGGTCCAGGTCCCGTTCACGCTCCAGATCCAAATCCAAAACCAAGCACTCTTTGCCCAGTGCCTACCGCTCCTTCAGGAGATCCAGGTATACGCTCTAGAGTTGTAACATGTTTCCAGGAACGATTTAAACTGTTAAAAAGAGCTTGCTAATTGCTATGCCTCTGGGCACATTTACTGAAATGTAATTATGTTTTTAAACTGCCTTTTCCATCTTTTTATCCGTCCAAAAATGTGTTAATCTAAGTGGCCTTTTAAGTTAAATGTAGAAGTTAGGGCTTAAAAGTTGGAATGAATTATTGAAAATGTCGCTTATTAAACTTAGAAATACAGGAAAAGGTATGTGAACCCTGGTGTTTACTGTTGGTTTCTGCATAAATTGGCCCTAAAATGTGATTGCATCTTGTCACAAATAGACCAACACAATCTGCTTAAACAAATAAAACACAAACCATGAGACATTTTTTATTGAACATACCAACATTTTTAATTCTGGTATCATTTATTCACCCTCTTGTTGTTCCAAACCTGACTCTTTTTTTCTGTTCCTTCTCAACACAAACGAAGATATTTTGAATAAAACTTGTAGCCAAGCTGTTTTGATAACCATTGACTTCCATTTTATGGCCACAGAGAAAAACACAGAGACATTTCTCAAAATATCTTCTTTTATTTTCATCAGAACATAGTTTGGGACAATATGAGGATGAGTATATATAGTTGCTAATGTACATCGGTTTAAATTTTGGGTGAACTGGGTGAACATTTAGGGTCCCGGTGTTCACCAAACGATTCCTGTAATTGCAGGTCAGATTTTCAGATAGGCATTAAGGAAGAATTTAGGTGGGATATAATTATTTATTTTAAAACAAAATGACCAGTATATGTAGAAATCAAAGGTAAAGCCAAGGGTTCACATACTTTTTCCTGCATGTTGGGAGAGTGGCGTGTCAAAAGTTTTGTTCTTTTGTTCACCCCTCAGCCGCCCTCATTTTTCATCCTCTTTATTAGAAATCAAGACTGATTTGTCATTGTCCAATGCTGAATTTCCAGTAATTACAGTCCCCTCATCACTACCGTCTTGACATGCCATAGCATAATTTCTAGAGATTAAATCATTTCGCCCCAGGATTTAAATCACTTAGACTGTGTAAAAAGCTGCAAAAAGCTTTCTGGCTCATTTCCTTAGTTATATTTCCATTTAAACTTGCCAAACAAGGGTAAAAAATGTTGCTATAACTCAGACAAACCTCCTAGGTAAGATAATTGGAAGGAGTAAAACCACTTCCTCTAATACCAGATAAGGAATTGCCTCTCTCTCTCTCTCTCTCTCTCTCTCTCTCTCTCTCTCTCTCTCTCTCTCTCTCTATATTGTAGAATAAATCTTGTGTCTGTGCAAGTGAGAGATTGAGATGGTTTTGGGCAGAAGCTCTTCTTAGACTACTAATCTAGTTTGGCTGAGCCCCTGTGGGTCTCTGTAGATATCGCCTTGGCCTAAGCCATGTTCTCCAGCTACGAGCTGTATGAGAAATCTTCCTATCCCTGATGGTTTTCTTATTCCTCTGTTATTGAACTGCAGTTCATCCACTTACCTCATAGGCTTCGCACCATTACGCAGACTGCAGCGTCTGCATTAAGATGACAATCCCATCTTCTAATCCAGATCGTCCCACATCCGTGTTAATTTCTCATCTGGAATGGCTCCATCACTTGGTCCTCACACACCCTGTCTGTCATCTCCCTTCACAACCTAGTCATTAGCAGGCCTGGACGTGTACGTTTCTCAAGCCAGACACGTGACCTTGTGGTTTTGACCTTGTTCCCTGATTGCTGTCAAGTGTTGGAGGGGTTTCAGACCATGAGTGTTTGTTTTACAGCAGGTCAGCTCGTGTTTGGACTGATCAAGTGTCCTGGTCAAGTGTGTGTGTGTCTGAGAGCATCGCCACTTCAGCAAAGAAAATTACTATTGAATGTGATCAGCCGTCACCTTTTGTACTCTTCGCCTGTAATTCCCATTCTTTGTGCACTTATTTTTAGCCTAAGAGGAATTTAATTAACTATTTGTCATATAGGCATGAAAATATTGAGGTGTAAAGTGCATTTCAAGTTTTCAAATGCTTGGTAGCAAGAGTGTTTTTAGGTCTAGATCTGAAGTAGTAATTTCTTCAGTCAGTTCAGGCCAGGCCAAAGCACTTAACGTACAGACTCAATTGAAAATGTGTTCTATAGATTGTGAATTTTTTTTTTAAATTGGATTTGCTCTACCATCTCAAATTGTGGGGTCAGTAAGATTGAAATAGAAACACTAATAAGATTGAAATAGAAAGACATTAATGTCTTTACTGTCACTTTTGCTCATTTTAATTAAATAGAAACACTAATAAGATTGAAATAGAAAGACATTAATGTCTTTACTGTCACTTTTGCTCATTTTAATTCATATTTGCTGGATTATATATATATATATATATATATATAAATATATATATAACTGGCTTACCCTAAACTTTTGAATATGTCTATATAAATTTGTATATAAAACTTTTTAATTACTTACAGTTTTAATTACTTTGATTTTACCATATGCAAATCAAGGCAAGAGAAAGGTAACATTAACTAGAATGTTACTGTTCATAAATATCTTCTGAATGCCAGCAAAACAATATCCTATTAAGATTACAGTAAAATGGCCACCATTTGAACCACCATTTTATCTTTTTAATAGTGACTACAGCAATTTTGCATCAGTTTACCTTATTTAGTGAAGTATCTAGCCCTTATTTCGTCAATAAATATAACACTACAAAGTAACCAGAAAACCACTTATTTTGATAGCGTTATACATGTAGTGGTTTAAAGCAAACATTAACACAAACCTACGCCTGGTGTGTCAGGGTTTTTTTTTTTTTTTTTTGTATTGTAGCTTGTATTAATAACAAGCCCATATCTCAGTCGATGACTGACACTGAACATGGCCATTGAATTACTATTACTAGGGCCAGAAGTAATTATAAATCTCCTGTTTTCAAACATGGCCAGTGTTGTGCCTCTAATTTTTGTTAGCGCTAATAATAACGGTGTCAGTGTTTAAGCTACTCACCAACTTTTATTTGCTTCCTCCTGACACCTGACATTTCTTTTTTCCAGCTGGCACATTAACACCAGAGACCAGGTTAACGTTTATCCTTAATGAGTATGTCTGTCCAGTGTAATGGAAAAAGAGGTGGGGGGGATTGTTTCCTCTACATAAAATAATATCTTTGACAATCCTGCAGCAGATTATTAATAATTTGATTTAATCTCTGTTTTTCTTCTTCCTGTCTGTATATGATATATTTTTTCTCTCTGTTCCTGATTCATAGGCTTCTCTACACATCAGTATGTTCTTAGTTTCAAGTGTATGTGCAGTGTGCACACAATGTATTTATTTTAATTCACATTATCCTTCTGCGTGGGTCTATACATGTATGATTACATTTCAACCCACACACACCTGTTAATAACGGCCCATCCATTTTGTTAGAGAAATGTGTTCGGCAACATTAGATTGAATTTTCCAAGGTTCAGTGAGGCTCATTTTGTACTGTTAATGAACGTTATTAGTATGATATGGTTATGTTCTGCAGTAAGTTAAAACACATAATTCTTATTTAAATTAAAATAATTTGCCTTTTTTTAATATGCAACACTTTTTTTAATCACTATTTTTTATTTATATAGAAGATGGAAGAATCCACTAGGTTGCATTATGCAGTTGTGATGTATTGTCAGTAGTCAAAGACTAGCAATGCAAAACAACACACCGTTCCATGAACCGTAAACAAAGCAGCATATTATTATGATGGTTTGGTTTGGTTCTTGTTCTAAACTTTGCAAACGCTACTTTTCTTCTTCTATCCTTCTGAGCGAATGTCCTGTGCATGACATGACTCAGTGTTGCCCTCCAACATCTTGTATAGAAAAGCATTGTACTGCTCATCATTTGTCAAACCTCGTCCATTTTCTTTAAGGCCTTAATGCACCACTTGCTGTCACTGAAACTACCAACTACCGTCACCCTTAGCATTTAAGATTTGGCATTTGAGTTCAGTCTCGGACGGCTTGCACTGGATATTTGCCCAAATTTTCATGGTCCACAGCATTTCTTCAGTGTCTTGCTGTGTTTACAGTGATTACTTCTGTACATGTCTACTTCAAGCCTATGAGCGTCAAAGATAAAAGTGTGATTTATCACCACACTTATTTCACACACTTATTTTTAAGAGCTCAACTACTTGTTTTTTAGAACTCTCTTCATCTCTCAAAAAGGTTTTGAAGTGGTAATGGAGAGCAGAGAACCATCGTCATCTGTCACTAAACTTAACAGCATCGATGAGCCTAACGCGTGGGATGATTTCTTGAGCAGAAGTCAGTTCTATTTTGACCATGCCTTCTCTTTCTTTCCTTCTAATGTCTCAGGTCTCAGTCTCGTTCCCCCGGCCACAGAGATCGACGAGCACGCTCTTCAGAGAGAAAGCGTGACGAGAGGGAGAAGGAAAGCTACGGTCCCAGCACCTACCGCCTTGGCAGCAACCCAACACTTGGCAGGAAGCGCTCTAGATCAAGGTGGGTCTGGCACTTACGCTACATCAGGCCTCAAAAGGACCATTTTTTTGGATCACTGTTTTTTTTTTCACCTGCTCTGGCACAAAAAAAGTTATTTTAGTGAAGTATTTGTTTAAATGTATTTTTTTTAGACTCTTAAAGGGATACTCCACTTTTTTTTTTTTTTGGAAATAGGCTGATTTTACTACATTTCCCCAGAGTTAAACAGTTGAGTTTTACCGTTTTCAAATCCATTCAGCCGATTTTCTTATATTTAGAAGAATATCAGTAACCAGGCAGTTTCTGGTCTCATTGACTTCCATAGTAGGAAAAAAATATACTATGGGAGTCAATGAGACCAGAAACTGTCTGGTTACTGATGTTCTTCTAAATATAAAAAAAAAATGGCTGAATAGAAACATCCAACTGTTTAACTCTGGGGGAGTGGTAAAATAAGACTATTTCCAAAAAAAGTGGAGTATCCCTTTAAGCAAATATATTTTTTTATTTAGAAGAGAGGGAGTCAGTAGGATAGTAATGATGCTGAAAATTCAGCTTTGCCATCACAGGAATAAATAACATTTTAAAATATATTAAAATAGAAAACAATTATTCTAAACGATAATAATATTGCACCATGTTCTTGTTTTTACTGTATTTTCTGATCAAATAAATGCAGCCTTTGTGAGCATAAAAGACTTCCCACCAACTCTAGGTATAATTTTACTGTGTATTATTATTGTTGTTATTTTAAAACTAAATATTTACTCCATTCACACTGGCACATGCTGTGAAAACATAATCTAATGACAGCAGGAAGAGCATGTGTTTGTATTAACGGCAGCTGAGATAAGGCCTTCTTTTAAACGCTCTAGCTGTATATCATCACAAAAAGTTTGGCTGATTGTCAGCATGTGTTCCGCTGTTCACAGTTGGTTAAGAGTGCTTTCCTGGTGTTTCCCCGGAGTCTGCACCAAGCGTGATCTTTTTCATTCGCTGTAATCCTTCTATTGAAGAGTCCTGTGAGACTCCACTTCATGACACTGCTATCATATCCCTTCCCTCTGTCTCATCTCCTCTACTTGACCATTATTTTCTTACCGACACCCATAAGGCGCTAAAGCACCACAGAAAGAGGTCGTCGTGGTGACTTCTCAGATCTCAACTGGCTTTTGTGTCACTGGTCTTTATCTGGGCGGCCCACTCTCTCCAGTACTTTTATAGCTTAGCTGAGACGTTTCTCCATATTCTGCTGCCGTTGAAGTTGCTGAAAGCGAGGACAAGCTTTTTAAACATTAAAAAAGCTCAGCATCTTTCATTACACCCTTGACCCTTTTTGAACCAAGAGATGAATTGAGGTTCGGTTTGTTCCTGATGATTTAACACCTCACTTTACTGTACACGCAAACAGGAGACATTTGAGTCTCTGAGTGCCTGCCTTTGGCCCAGCAGCAGCTGCTGTTGTTGTCTTGGAAATGTAACATAACAGTTGTGGTACCCACGGATCCTTAAAAAGATATTATATATTTAAAATTTAAGGCCATAAAAAGTCTTATTTTTACTTATGAAAGTTCTTACATTTTAGATTACACTTCGACTTAGTCATATCTAAATGGTTGCCAAATTAAAACCATCTAATTTGCGTACTTATTATTTTTTATTGGCCTATTCTATCCTTGTGGATTTGCTTGTTCACGTGACAATTCGGACTTTTGATTGAATGATTTAATTTGACTGTTAAATAAGTAAATAAATATAAATAAGTATATTTAATGTATAATTAACATAAAACGTGATGCAGAACTCTAAATAAGTTAAGAATAAAAAAATCTCCATAAATAGGTGAAAATGCCCCTGGAAATCAATTTAAGGTGGCAAATATTGCACATTAATTAATCATTTCTGTCACTGCTGTGAACTGACCACTGCATAGAATATGAAATATATAAATATCTCCGTGAGTCTGCTGTCAACAACAGGCCTAAACCAGCCATGGCACCAGCACAAAAACACAATCAGTAAAATATCATCTAATTAATATCAACAAAACGTTGAAAATATCGAGATATATTTTTTTCAGCATTGCACACCCCTTATGTATGGTATTAATTTTGATTTTTTTCAGGTCTTAAAAAGGTCTTAAAAAGCCTTAAATTTTACTTTAAAAAGTGTGCAGGAACCCTAATATAATCCATTTTCTTCATGGAATCATAATATTGTTAGCAAAATATGTAAACCTTTCAAGGCAGACCACCCACAAGCTCTGAGGTTAGGCAAAAGTGACCTAGTGAGATCTTAACTGCAAAAAAAGAAATGGATTTTATAGCCTAGTTCCTTGTAAATAACTGCACTACCCATGATTTGAAGAGAGATTCACAAGCTAGAAAAATCCTTATCCTATGCATAATATCGTTAATGGCTATATATATATATATATATATATATATGTATTATATATATATATATTTCAACTTATATATATTTACTCTAGTTCAGATAATCTAGTTGTTTTATCATCAACATACACTGTGCTATATTGTCCAAAATATATCTGATTATTGTACTGTAAACACACACAAAGTACAAGGATTAGATTAAAATAATAATTATATATATATATATATATATATAATACCATCAATTAGGATTGTCATTCACCACTGTTTATGAAATGTTCCTTCATAAAGATGTTAAGTTCACAGTATTGTACCTTTGTCTTTTTTACGATTTTTATTTATGGCTTATATTGTGTTTTCCAGGGTTTACTAAGGCTCATTTCGTATCAATATTGCGTAATCATAACGTTAAAAATAAGTATGATGTGGTCGTTCCCTGCAAGTAAATAACACATAATTCTTTGTTAGAATTAGATAAAAATTGCATGAAATTAATATTTATAAAATGCCAGTATTCCATCAACATCTCAGAGCTGAATGACTTTATTTATGTCTTAAATATTTCTTTTCAAACGTTTCGGAGAAAATTAATGCGAAGAGAAATACTTCTAGAAGTCACTGTTGTACTCCATACTGCTCCCTTGTACTATAAACTAATGGGTAATCTTAACCTTGCCAATCAGATGCAGTAAGTGAGAGGTATTATGTGTTTTTGTTATTAACTTGGATCCTTTTTTCCTGTATTGATTCAATTAGTCACAATACAATGTGGTGGAATTCTTGGCACGTCTGCAGGAGTGCATTTTTAACCTCGTGTCCACTCTCCAAACAGATCTTGTCATTTTGCTGCAGTGCCACAGATAATTAGAGGCCACTATGCCCATTAACTAAAGTCTAGTGCTCCTTTAGAAATGTATTTTTCCCACTATATTCAAATAAAATATTCATAAAGGACAGTCTTGCAGATAAAGGCCTCTTGATTTGGACTTAGGTTGCTTTTTCTTTGGAGGGAGAGAGTACAGTATGTGCGGATGGCCTATTTGAGTCCCCTCGCTGATGCAGTGGTGGATCAGCAGGGGTCTCTGTAAAGGGACGTGTGGGTGTTTTAGATCTCCACAGTGTTACCTCCTGTCACACAGTGACTCTCACTTCACTGCACCGTCCCCAGAGCCACAAGAAAAAAAGTTATGAACCTTAAGGAATAGCACATGAAAGTGACGCACTTTGTTTTATTTACTGTTGTTTTAAACCCAAATGACTTTCTGTCCTCTGTGGTGCATCAAAAGGGAAAAAAAGCACCATAAAAGTAGTCCTTATATCTTGTGTGCAATATTCCAGAACTTCTGGAACTTTCTAACTTTGTGTTAGAAAGGCAAGGCAAGTTTATAAATATGCTACGTTTCATACACAGAGGTGTAACCAAACATAATTTGAATGTGCATGTTTTGGGTTGACAGATCGCCTCATGAAAAGAAGAAGAGGAAGAGTTCCAAGTCATCGCACCATTTTAAGGGTTCCTCCGTTTCGCCCTCGGCATCCCCTGACAGAAGCGGAGCCGTGGCCAGAGTCTCTGCAAGCCTCTCCCCTGCCACAAGCCCCGCCTCCAGCTTGGGGAGGTCCAGGTGAAGGGCACAATCAGTCCCTTTAATGAGCAATCAGTCAGCAAGAGAACCTCGCACCCACTCTCTGAAGCTTAGTCTGCTTAAGTCAGAATTGCAGATTCAACCATATTTTTTTTCCCACTTTGTTGCAATATTAATTTAAGCTTTGCCAGGAGCACTGTGCGTGAGACACAAAGACGGCCTGCACTCTAGCTTTTTGATTTGAAAGATATTATGGTTTTAGATATGATTGGACAACTTGAGTAATTGTTGAATGAAGCATGAAAGTTTCAGATGCTCAAAATCAGGCATTATGACGTTTTAATTAAAGGGTTTGACAGCATAATCTTCATGAATTGCGAAAGGAAAACCATAGATTTTCTACATTATGGATAGGTTTTGATTCAAAAACTGGGGAGAACACACTGCACATGGTAATTGGATACAGGGACTGACTTCTCTTTCCTCACAATTTCTCAAGTTTCATCAAAAAAGTAGCTTTAAACTCCCTCGGCCTTCGGTTGTTTTTTTGATGCTCTTTCTTTTACCTCCCTCTGTGCGTCTCTCTCGAAACTTTGTTTCATTTGTGCAGTTTTTTGTTGTGTCTCTTCCTGTGTTGGGTGAATATTTCATGACCTTCTTCTGGTCGCTCAGTTTCAGCCTGAGATGTCTGTGGTGGTTACATGCTCACCAGTCATCATGAATACTGTATTGGGGTGTTTTTCACAAACCTGGCCAATTGGCAGATCTCTGTCTTTTTGTCACCGTCTCACTGTCTCTTTCTTTTTTTACTTTTGTTGGAAGTCTATTAAACACTTACAAAAGAATTCTGAATGCAGATGCATTGTTGAATAAATGCTCCAGCAAAATCTCTCCGAACATCCAATAATGACTCGTTGGTTGTATTAAAAACACGGCTTAAAATGTATGAGTCAGCCTTTAGTCATTTTGGCCCCAATGAATTCTATTCTTTGCTTTTCTGTGAAAAGAGGCTTTGGAAACACCTTGTAAAAGGTGCTATATAAATATTTTGTTTGTTACACAGGGATGGCTCTCAGGAGAAAGACAAGCAAGTGTCCTCCACTATTGTCTCTTCAGTGCAAACCAAAATCACTCAGGTATGTCATTAAGATTTTCATATAACAACACTTTTGTGTAAACTAAGGCTTTTAATTGGTTAAAAAATGTAATTGAATTAATTATGTCATTTAAATTTACTCACAATTTCATACATCAATATTTGCAGAGAAATACCATCAAATAGATATTTGAGACAGATTTTTATTTATTTATACAGTATATTATATTTTTTTATTTACTCTTTCCTTAGGAGCTTTATCAGGACTACTTTTTGACAAATAAAATGGACCTTTTCTGGATGGTCAAGATTGACCATTGGCTTTTTCAGCAGCAATTTAATGTTATATAAATTGTACAGAATCATAATTTATACAATATTGAATATATGTTATTGAAGCCCATAAACCTTCAAACTTGAAGGACTTTTAACCCTTTTTTGTTACTGTTTTTGTCATGTCTAAAAATCTTGCCAAGCTTTGGTTTTCTAGTGAAAAGTTAAAGTTGGTTTTCAGTTCATTTTAATTCTTATTCCTTAAGTGCACATTTGAATTGGAATTCTACATCAACATTGAATTATTTATATTTTATTCATTCACTCTTTCCTTTTCATGTGCCACTCTTTGACCACAAAACAAAGACCACATACATTTTTTATGTTTTTTTTTTTTTTTTTTTTTTTTTAATATTGGCCATAATGACCATTGTGTCTCATCTTGCTGAGCACTTTTTCAGCATCTCGCCCCAAAGTACATTTTTAAGAATGTGTCTCCACACCCTGGATTCTTTTTTTCCATTCCGCTGCAGCTTGGGTTTTATTGTAAGAACACATTCATGTTATCGCCCTCTTGGACTGATATTTTTTGACTAAAAGTTTGTACGTTGAGCAGTTTCGGGCTGAATTAATTTGTAGGGTTGTGGATTTAGAATAAACCTCTGACCAGAATGCTTGAGGAATATCAATACAGTGTTCCCTTGCAAACACTGTAATAAAAAAAACTTTCGCTACTTCTCTCAGTATAATTCAGCGCCTAAGGGGAAAACAGACTGAAATTGTGTAGCAGAGCTGATGAAACCCTTAGACGCTTAGTAAGGCTTTAATATATGTAATTTAGAGCCCGACGCTCTCAGTGGTCTGTGTTTGCTGAGCCTTACGTGCTGAAACTGAGAAATAAGTTGATTTGGTTGCATGACCCTGTCACCAGGAGTAGGTGTGTGTGTGAGTATTTGTAGAGAAAGGGAGCTTGTCGCTATCGCATGCTGATTCAATGCAGCCGTCAGTCTCTGCTACTCTGTTGTGATCTCTGGCCTTGTGCAGTAAGGATGAAACATCGTGTGCGCTCGCTTTCCTTCTCTTTGCTTTTTGTTATCCAGAGCAGACGAAAGGTAGCTACTGTATGTGATTAAAGAAGTCAGTTGTGTCAAAGGATGTGAGAAATCCAGAAGAAGGTAAACAAAGTATGCTGCACTGCGTTTCACTCGGAGCCATCTGATCCTCAACAAAAAGAAGTCAGCTGCATAAGTCTTTATTTTAGCCCTCTCTGTTCTAAAAAAAGTCTACGGTCTTGACATGGTTTCAGATCTTTTGGAAACCTGATTCACTTCCCTTTTCCCCCGGTATACGAAATCAATTCTGACACCTCAGAACTGGGGCAGGACTTCCAGGGGGCAACGTCTTGCAAAAACGAGTCGGCTCTTATTAAAACCAGCAGCTGCTGCACGAATCAATACAAGCATGGTTCACCTTGACAAATAACTACCGGCAGGAACTTCTGGAAGGCCTGTGCATGCTTACATTTCAGTTGTGTGAGGAAGTCCCTCCGTTCCCAGTTGCCCCCTCTAGCCTAGGCAATGAAAGCTCTGGGCAGCACAGACCACCCGCAGATCCTGTGGCAGGGAAACAGGTTTCAGCTCAGCTCAGTTTGATCCCTTGCCCGCAGCACTACCTCACGCAACTATGATCGGATCCTCCAGAGGAGAATGCTCCAGCTCTGACATGCACATCCTGACTATTGATGGAGGAAGAAGTGCTCTCATGAGACGCTCCGGTGGAGACTGGCGGGGATTTTTACAACCGGTAAATGGAAAGCTGTAACGAAAGGCTGGGGCAGCGTGTTCGAACTCCCCTGCGATTTTCACCAACCCTCTATGTGCCTGTCAGCCGAACAACAAGGGAGGCTGGTTTACGGTTCTCCCTAAGGAACAGAATAGTCTATTTTTCTTGTGCTCTGTGCTGTCCTCCTCATCTTTAACATTGTGGTGCTTCTTTTCTTGTTTGCCATCGATTAGCATGGGTGGCATGTTAAGGGTGGCCGGTGACTGATGGTTTAATCAGGAGGCGTTTATGGTTTGCAAAATGCACCCTGGCAGGTTATGAGTGCATTACTGTTGTTGTGCGTAAGGTAAAACAGAAAAAGTATTGTGTTTCCTAAGTACTGTGACTCTGGGGGGAAAAGACATCTTGTGTACTAACTGACTGAATCAGATTGTTGAAGTGGAATGCCGGACGAAGAATGTTATGTGTCGTCTCTTGCCATTTTAAACTACACCATCTCCTGATCACAACCTCAATGTTGCCCCTTTAAAAACCTTGTTTAAAGGTGCGTAACATTTAATGGGGGCTCGTCCGGGATGAAATGCCTTTATTGAATAGGACAGTATGCAGAACTTTTGGAGACCAGACTCAGGTCAACCAGAGGCACAGTTGCATTATATGTGGGAGTGCTGCCCACAAGGTTATTGCCTCAGACAGACCATTGTTTAAAAAAAAAATAATAAAAATGGAGTGAGTTCAGAGTGATATTGAGTGTGAGATTTCAAAATTGCGTTTTAAATGGCCCAGCCCTGTGATTGAACTGCAACCTCTTTGAACTCGAAGTAGGGTGATTCTCTGAACTCTGAAAATGCAGGTACGAATGTGGGTTATCTCTCAAATTGCTTGGAAGTCTGGACCCAAATAGCTACTGAGAAACCAGCCAACTGCAAAAAGCAGTTCTCAGTCCCAATTACAATTTGCTCTTGTTTGGTCGTTTAAAGTCGGAAAGCAACAATGCTAATGTTTTCATTGTGCGAGAGTTGAGTTCCATATTCTCAGATATCCTCACACTTCAGCCAAATGAGCTCTAATCATACCACAGATATCCCCCTTTCATTGCAGTAATCTGCTCGGGTCAGCTGGAAGCTCGGAGAGCCTTTTATCCCAGCTTAGTCCTGTCACTCTAATGTACTGGATCAACACACTATAATCAAGAGAGACATATATTTAGCATGTACATGCGTTCGAGTTGTGGTATATGTGTTTCGTTGTCATGCATTTACTGCTTGCATGCTTGTCTAGATCAGCTTTATGCAAAATGAAGAATTGGCTCTTTTTATAATCCTGAGTTGGAATTTGAATGAAATAGCCATGCAATACAGGATGGATGGATGGATGGATGGATGGATGGATAGATAGAAAGAAGACTTTGCTTTAGCAAAAAAAAACAGACATTTAGTCCATTTTGTATCACAGTCGTCAGCCTCTGTACTCTATTTAATGCAATCCATGTAAATTTGTGTTTTTGCTTCCCAAAAATGACTTTCATAATGATTTCACCCTGTGAAGGACAACAGCAGCCCCTCCTCTCCAGAGGCACCTTGGTCCTTGCCTGTGGTGTTTGTGTTTTTTTTTTTTTTTTGACCACTTGTTTGTTTAATGATTAATTTTACCGGGGCTTTATTGGAAATTCAGGGTTAATAACTTTCCTTCGACTGGATGAGGGGGTGGAAGGCGGCGGTGGCTTTAACTCTGCAAACGTCAATGAGCAAACCTTGCTCCTATGACAACCGTGCAATTCAGCCATGTGTTTCAAAAGATGATTTGACTGATTTGATATATAATGGCAAGTTATGCTGACGTAAAGAACCTTGAAGTAAATGTATGCTGGCAGAGAAAGGCGTCATTGCAAGAAAACAGACAGTAATGTATCTGTAGCTGTAGCTTATTAACTGATGTTCTTGCACGTAATATTAACTTTTAAAGGAATATTCCGGGTTCAATACAGGTAAGCTCAATCTGAAATTTTTGGCATGATGTTGATCGCCACAAAAATGATTCACACTTGACCCTTTTCTTCAACACACACAAAAAAACAAAACTAAAAAGACATTATTTTAGTGTGAATAATTTGCTTACCAACCCTATTCTATATTCCATTTTACAATTTTGTTGTCATGTCACCTAAAACCCTAAAACAATCATAAAAAATAAGAACTACTTTACAGCTCAAGTTATGCAGGTTCCAACAGAAGAATTAATGGTCAGTAAGTGCCTTAATAAAATTATAAGCCTCACTTACATTATGCATTTAAACCCTCTTGAAATTGGTCCTATTCACTTCCATTTTCAAAGAGGGATATTTTTGTGGTAACCATCATTATTGAGCTTAACGTCTATTGTTCCTTTTAGTGTTTTTTTCTTTGATGTAAATTCCGTTTTGTATGAAATCACTGACGCCAGTTAATGTGCATATTCATTAAGCAAGAGTGCCAAGCCGTGTCGTCTCCGGTGTCGCACTCTCCCTATGGGCTCTTAGCATGCAAGCAGCCTTGGGTAAGGTAACCTGAGCCACATTGAAGGAAGAGAGACATTTGAAGAGCAGGATTCTAGTTTGCCAATGGCCTTTTTTTTATAGAACGCCACTAGACATCCGTATCCATATTTAGCACGTAGGATTCTTATAAATACAAAGCCAATCTTAATTTCAAATTGTGCAAAGTTGTCTGCAAGCTTATGAATTCATGTTTCTGTTTTCTTGTCCTGTGTTTATGCTATGAATACTCTCTCTCTCGCGAACTCTACCTTGCGAATTGTGAACATTTTCTCCATTTCTCCTTTCTTGCAGGACCTCATGGCGAAAGTGCGAGCAATGCTTGCTGCCTCCAAAGGCCTTCAGCCGAACTCATCTTGAGAGAGTTCCACAACATCCAGGCAGGATCAGTCTACATCTCGCACGGCAGCAACAGCCTTCCGGGCGACTACTGGACTGCTGTTCGCCTGATAAGCTGCACAATCCTGGGCTCTTTTATCCCTTTATGTATGCCTGGTTTGGACCTCGCGTTAGTTAGATGTTTTTATTTCGCCTCCAGATAAGCATTAGGCATGGAGATCTTCTTTGTTTTGAAGGTGCAGGTGTAGAAAGACACAATACCAGCAGCAGATGGTGGAGCCTCGGTCCTGCTGTGTGTTTTAGCTGTAAGGCAGCAACAAGAAAGAAGTATTAAAGGCGTAATTCCTTGGATGCAACTAAAAACAAATTTAAATTGCGTTCTGATGACTGAGCTTTTTCCTTTGTAATATTGTGTCTTGCAGAGGGACACAGTTATATCCTTCTGTGAAGGATAAGGATAATACTGTTTATTTTCTCACCTATCTCCTTTTTTCCTCTCTCCGTCTGAGCTCTTTCCAATATGAAGTCATTGGCTTGCTTGTTTTTTTGTTTTTTTTTTTGTTTTTTTTTTAATATGTGGCCTTCGGTTTTTCATTTCTAAGTTTGTACAGGCCTAATTTTGAAGCTACTTTGTAAAACCGCCAATAAAGTATGAATTATCCAACTTGTGGTTGCCTTACTTTCCGTGAGCGACATCTCGTCATGTTCGCGTCCTGCTCCGTCTGTTTTTTCATTTCCTGCACCTGCGAGCTTTGGCCTTTTGACCCTCGGCGCATGTACCGCATCCCAACATGCACTCTGCATGATAATTAGACCTCATGTTCTGCTGAAGGGTCCATATGAGTGGCACCCCCCAGGAATTGGGAGAGCATGAGCGAATGGAGGGAATCATGGGCTATTTTAAGTGCGTCTTTAATCTCATGGCGGTTCAGCCCGTGGAGGTGATGTGGCGAGTCTCATTTGGTCCTGCAAGAGAGAAAATTGCATTGGTAAGAGATCCCTGGAGCAGGTCAGTCCCATCAAAACCCATATTTACAGTCACTCCCAAACTCTCTTGACATGGAGAACTCATTGCTTTCCCATGTTCAGATCATGTTGAGTCTGATTCAAGTGGTCTATTCTTGGGAAAAGGACGCAAGTGTTTTGTGCCAAAGAATAAATGTTAAATGTCCATCTGGACTGCATTTTATTGATCATTTCACTCTGTGCTGTATGTTCAGCAAACCCCGCACGGTCTAATCAGGGCACTTAATTTAACTATAGTTTTATACGGAATGTCTATTTACAATACTGAGTTGCGGTCCGTATCTGACACAAATAGCCAACGTATTCTCATCCTTTAGCGTCATATGTGACGCTAAATGACAAAACGGCCAAATACTACGCACATGGCACCCGTTATCGTTAATATAACACGCGCTGTGATGGTTAGGTTTAGGTGTGGGGTAGGGTAGGGTAGTCTCATATTACGCTGAAGGATTTATGACGCCTTGGGTTCGCGTGTTATATTAACGATAAAGAGTGCCATGTGCGTAGTGTTTTGTCGTTTTGTCATAGCGTCACATATGACGCTAAAGGATGAGAACGGGCTGAAATAGCATCGAACCACTAAAAATACTGCTATTTTTAGTGTAAATAGACTTGTGACTAGTGTAAATAGCATCTATCGTTAATTGAATCTAGTTGCTATTTAAACTTAGCATATATTGCTAAGCATCTACAGCATTTGCATATCGAGGGCTTGGAACCATAGGGGCATAAGTGGCATTTTGGGCGAAAATGAGTTCTATATATCAAATTAAAGGTCTTGATGAGCTCTATCTAGTTGTGCCAAAAAACACATCAGAAATCAACCTGTATTGAATAAAGCAACAAAACAACAAAGACCTAACACAAAAGTTTGAGCATCGTTTGGAGCCAGAGGGGCGTATGTCCACTTACGTCTTCTGGCTCTTAACAATACAAGAGCCTACAGTATTTTTCAGAGCCAGAAATGGCAAAACAGAGGCAAAACAAATTTTGATGAATATAATAAAGTAAACAGATGAATCTTGTGATGAAGTGACAGATGAAGAGATGTTTTTGTCTGCTCCTGAACTTTTTAGTTCAACTAAAGTGAACTACACTCTATGCTATGTTGGCTTTACTTAACTGTTTTATGTAAACAGAATCGGTTACGCTTCCTTTTACAGTACAGTACTTACAGTGTACTTACCTGGAAAGTACTGGCTAATATAAGGTGAGTACATGGAACGGGTAGCTTTAGGGGTAGGTTCAGGGTTAGTACTAGTTATTACCCAGTAATTAACTGGACTGTAAAAGGAAGCGTTACCACATAACTGGGTTACGCTAAACAAACATAATTTGTTCATGTAACTTCAACATGGAATTAAGTCATTTTAAGGGACCCAATTAAACTCTGAGCAGAGTGTTAAATGAACACTGAAGCAGTGGATAAAGTTAATGAGATAATTAAGTAAATAATTTAGTGATGATTGAGAACTATTGAAGACACCTGATGTTAACAAGCAGAATCACTGAAGGAGAAAGCCGGAATTTTAGGTCACCATTATGGTGATCAGTGTGTGTTTGCCATTTTGAACTACACTTAGACCCTGCATCTGTATTAGTCTCTCATTTGTCTTCTCATTACACAGTTGTTTAGGTATATATGCAAACAAGCACTACCAGTCAGAAGTTTGTAATAAAGAGGTTTTGCTCATCTATTACCATGATTTTTATTTTCCTTTTTTTAGCATTGTTACTCAGTCTTTCCTCCTTCGGAAATCATCCTGATTTGGTGCTTAAGAAACATTTTTATATGTTTCAATTAAAGGCTGTTCTTTTGAAATTTCTATTCCTCAACGAATAATGGGTAAAATGTTTTGTGCAGAGCCAGTTATAATCAAAACATTTTTAATTCAGAATTTAAACAGATCTGAATTCCTAATAGCAGTATGTAGCAGTAATAAATGTCCCTCAGTAATAAAAATAAATAGCAGTAATAAATGTCCCTTCTAGTTTTTCAATATTTTGTTTATCCCATTTTTATTCTATTAACAAATTCACTTGCTCTTATCACTATATACTAAGTCTTGGAAATGAAAGGCTTTGCTTGACTTCCCGTTTCGTTTATCGCTATTTGCTGAAGTACAATATTTCAGTGTGGCACGGTTATCCAGGGCAATTTTCAGGCCAAGTCTTTATTGGCAATTAACTAATTATAATAATAAAATGGAACCGTATTAGCTGGATTAAAAATGAAGACGCCATCTCTGGAGGCTTGTTTTTTGCCGTTGACATTGACCTGCTATCAGAGCCGGTAGACAGAAGATGGGTCAAGCATGAGGCTCCTTGCAGGCTGTGGCATCTTTTTTTTTTTTCTTTCTCTCCCGAGAGCCTCTGTTCATCAATACAGAGCAGCAATCTGCTTAGTCACTGCGTGTAAACACATATCTCATTTTTTTGCCAAGGCTTCACTCATTCCATGCTCATAATGGCCGCAACATTCCCTCCAATAACTGGATTGCCTATTACAGTATAACATTAAATAATGGATTTATATGCAATTGAATGCCCCTCACAACATCATTGATTTGATTCCTATGGGCTGCATTCAAGGTTTCGCCCATTCACGCTGTGAGTTTTTTTGTATCACAAATGAAATGGCTGTGGTATCCAAAAAAGTCACTCTCAAAGCTTAATGAAGCGGCCGATACGGTGATTTGTAACTTTGAGATTTAAGGATTACTGACTTTAATCTGGTCCAGCCAGTGGCAGTGAAATGCTGGAAGGAACAGCCTTATGTAGGCAGAATGTTTGTTGATTTGTCAATTGATCTTGGAGAAAATACATGCAAAATTTACCATCAAAATCCAAATGACCTTGAGTTGGGTTGAGAATTAAGTTCCATGGCTTGTTTTGAAGTTTTATGTCCCTTCGCTTCCCACCGCAGTGGAAACCCCGCTAAAATAAAAGGAGCCGTGCGGCGACACGTTGGAAATCCAAGTTGGACCCAATTGAATATGTAAAATTAAAAATCCAGAAGCATGTGTTTGATTCTCTTGATGTGGTTATTCAGCAGAGGGTTGTCACGCTTTTCAAAGTTGTGGCCTGAACAAGTTTGCTGATTTCCCACAAGGGAAAAAAAAATCTCAGCCAGCTGTGATATATCCTAAATATCATGAAATAGAAAGGCCTTTTTTGGAAGTGCAGAGAATATTTTCTAAGCTGAAAAGAATAATACGCATGCAAATCCTAGTCCTCAAAGACATTGTTTTATGTAATGTAGTAGGTGCCATGTTACTGTTAAAACTAAAGACTTTAATGTGATAATAATAGAGATGTTTTCTCTCCCTATATACAAAAGTGGGGAGAAGAATTTGTGACTCACAGAGATAGAAGTTTCTTAATGTGCTACTTTTATAACCCAAATCAAATGGATGACAGAAATGGTGGAATGGATGCATAGCATGACTGACCAAATCCCTTTTATTCAGTGTTCCTTTAATCCATTCCTCATCCGTGTCTTCTGTTTATCATATTTAAGGCGACCTGATTAAAAGTGCTGCAGACTGTCTTGAGTGTCACTCTAGTCCTTCAAGTATCAATTCCATCCCACACAACGACAGGAAATGGGTTGCAATATCTCTCCTGTGTGATACCATGTGATCTCTCTTGCTGCAGATGTGAGAGATTTGTGAGATGATATCACTGGCTTCCAGTAAGGTTACAGTTTAATGCAGTTTTGTTGTTCACACACACATATACACTCAAAAATGCTGAGTTGTCAACCCATTTTTGGGTCAAATATCGACAAACTCAAACATTGGTTTAAATTTCAACTTATTGTGCACTGTAAAAAAATATTGATGGTTTAACTTAAAGTAAGTAACCTGGTTGCCTTAAAATTTTAAGTTGATTGAACTGGAAAAAGTGAGTTAATACAATGAAGTAGATTAATTTAACCATCAGAAACTCAAAATAATAAGTTATCTCAACTAAATAAATTATTATAAAGTTGATTTGACAAAAGAAAATATGTTGTGATAAATCTTGAAAATATTTTTTTACAGTGTGTTCAGTTAGATGTATTCAATTATTAAAAATGACGCAGAAAGTCAATCTCTATAAATGTGAAGTACTTGATTTAAAGAGCACTTGTTTCAAGCGATGGTTTGAGATTACCTCTGTCACTTTGGGTAGGCCTATTATTAGTCATTATATTATAATGTAGTGAAAATCAAGTTTTTATTGTTGTATAGGCTATGTCAATGTAGTAGGCTGGTATTTTTTTTTTAAACAAATTTAAAGATATGTAAATATTTTCCCACCTCAGACACAAAATCCTTAATAATATTATATTTTTTATTCAGGCAAGGGAGTCTTGTACCACCCTGTCACAGACAATATGAATGTCATTAGAGTAAAACAAGAAATATATTTTTTAAATCTAATGTTTTCTAAATAGTAAAATGTCCCTATTTGGAAACCATCCATAGAAAGTTTGTAATTTTAATCTTTTTTTTTTTTTTCTTAGGTTTTTTTTTTTTTTAATCTTGAAATATGAATTCTACATTTCAATGGCCTCACTGTTTGTACTGAAAAAACGGATTGGATTGTGACCGCCACTGTGACAGTGGTAAACCGGGGGAGGGGAAACAT